AATCAGATGTCACCATGCATGATTGTGGGTCGGCTAATGATCATCTAATACAAAGGTCAGAGACTAGGAACCCCATGACCCCACCCCAGCATAGCACAGTGGAGTGGGCAGGTTATGCCGCAGTCTCCATCTAGGTCCTCCACATACCAAACATGCATGCTGCCAGAGGCGGGGGGGCAGAAGTGGTGGTGTTGTGGAGTGAACCAGCATAATGATTTGGTTGATGATGCACCGGCGTGATGCTTTGTTGTTTTTCTGACTGGGCATTCCAGGGGGCTCGAATCGAAAGTCATTCCATCCGTATCCTTCCAGTGCACCACCGATGAAAACCTGTGTGAAACCAGCTCCTTGATTAACTGCCACAAAGCTGACTGAGAAGATTGCCTTGTTACCAGCAGGCCTAGATTTTGCACATCCATGATAATTTCTGCTGGAGCGGGATGCAGTTCATGTCGTGACATCAACTACAGCCAGACACACTTACCATGAATGATAGGAGTCAACTGCATCAGTGAAACTGCACTGTTTTTTTTAAGTGCACCTAAAAGAATTGTGTGCCAAAACACCCGTACATCTGCTTCCAGGCTGGTTTCCCATGGCTAAGTATCTGGCATAAGGGGACACTGTAACTCACCTTAACTTTAGACAAATGACCCAGTGTCAGGCTAACTTTGGCAATTTGTTTATGAGGACTCCCATAACTGAATTTGACCTAATTTAACACTGACTGCACTCTGACTGACTGACTGACTGACCTCCCATTGACTGTACTTTGATTGACATACTGAACTCCCACTGACTGCACTTTGACTGGCTGACTGACTTAATGAACTCTCATTGACTGCACTCTGACTGACTGAACTCCCACTGACTGCACTCTGACTGACTGACTGACTGACCTCCCATTGACTGCATTGTGACTGACTGACCTCCCATTGACTACACTCCCATTGACTTACTGAACTGCCACTGACTGCACTTTGACTGACTAACTGACTGACTGACTGATTTAATGAACTCCCATTGACTGCATTGTGACTGACTGACCTCCCATTGACTACACTCCGATTGACATACTGAACTCCCACTGACTGCACTCTGACTGACTGAACTCCCACTGACTGCACTCTGACTGACTGACTGAACTCCCACTGACTGCACTCTGACTGACTGACTGAACTCCCACTGACTGCACTCTGACTGACTGACTGAACTCCCACTGACTGCACTCTGACTGACTAACTGAACTCCAATTGACTGCACTTTCACTAACTGACTGACTTAAGGAACTCCCATTGACTGCACTCTGATAGACTGACTATCATTGACTACACCCTGACTGACTGACTGACTGACTGACTGACTAACCGTCTGACTTACTGAACTCCCACTGACTGAACTCTGACTAACTGACTTCCCAGTTTACGTCTCATTGAAGTTCATCTTGGATAAATAACTATGACCTAAAATGGATTCCGCAGGCCAGTTTTCAAAATGAAACTGGACTCCACCATATCCACTTTCATCACCCCCCCCCAACCCTCCTGGACCACCTATTTTATTATTTAAAAGTGACTAAAATACACAGGGGATCTCCAATCACCATGCAAACATTCACAATGAAAACTATTCTCACTGATGCACACATATAAACATACATGGGGCATAAATACTGCCATCTTCGTTATATGTCTCACACTAAATTCAGGAGGATGTTTTCAGATATGTCTTTGCAAAACTTCGCAAGCTTTCTCACGTTTATTTTAGCTGCCTTATATCCTTTGTGTAAAAATAGACAGAAGGGGGAGAGTGGTAGATGGACTTCCATGCCAACCAGAAGGCACAGATATGAGGCTCAGTGGGACGTCGGACAGACGGGTGCGGAGTGCCCCGAACCACGCCTTTATCCCCATGGAAGCGATGCGATAGGGAAGCGTTACACAACTCGCTTCTTAATCACATTCATCCCACAATCCATGGCAAATCCATCCATTTACAGAATGCAATCTACCTCATTGAGGGAAAAAATAGTATAGATGCCTTTTTCGTTAATTACGGAACCAACACTATACTTTACGGAAGACCACTACACTTGCTTCACGACGGTGATGTTTGCATTTAAAGTACAAAATTTTGCTAACAGAGGATCTATGTTCTTTGCACTGTCTATGGGGCACAACAGGCATCCGGATCTTACCACTAAAGAAATCTCTCATCACACCAGAATACATATCACAACAAAGCCGACGCTTATTTAAGTGTAACGCCAAGCAAGTATACACGTTACAGTCGTGCTTACAACCTGCAGGGAGGTATGCTGATCACTCCCAAAGCCTCACTCAGTCATCGGGAAAAAGAGATCTACGAAGAAGCAATTACAGACATATACATAAAACAATAGGTACAGAAATTACCAATAAGTTATTAGAGTAACCGGCAAATGGTACGTGGTGTGTTATATGTATTATCAGTTGAGAAATGTGAGAGCTACTGTACAGCTGATGTTCTGAAAAGCACAAACTCTCCGTACACAACGTCTTGCTCTTTTCACAAACCCATGCAAATCATCGCACCCGCCCTTACTCACCACAGTGGGCTGCAGTACGCGGGCTTAATCGTTTTTCCGGAAAAAGGTATTACAAACTGGACATATTTAGATGTAAGAAATAAACGCGCTGTCACAACAAATGGCATGAAAGAAGCCTCGGCAAATGTTTATCTGCGAAACATGGGCTGATGTCTTCGGTTAAAATGAACGCTTTCCCTTCTGACTTCTTACTAATTTCCATTTCAGAGTGATGCAAACGAGAGGCACGCAGGCGGCGGACTTACAATATCACCAATGGGGATCATATACAGGTGGGTCACTTGCTTAGGATTTCTTGATTTGCCCTGCCCCTGGAGCGTTCCGATCCGTGATGGAAGTCCACTGCCCAGTCGCCGATTTCACGTCGACGGACTGCATGAATTACTTTTCTAGCACCACCACACTTTGAACAGCTCCATTGACGTCAGCCTCCTTGAGCGACGACGCCACGCCCTACTCATTACCGTCATCGCCAATCGCAGCCCAGAAAAGTAACCAATCAACTGGCTCCATCTACCCTCATTACAGACACCCTGCTACAAACACACATATACACATACACCGACTGGCCACTCCTAGTACCGATTGGCCGAATGCCTGTCATGTAGATACAACTCCACCGAAACAGATGACACAGTTTGCCCCTAAAATACAAATCGCTACCACAAATCTAATCATAATTTGTTCACATAAATGTAGAGTATTCAATTTCTTAAGGAAAAACGTAAAAACTATTAATCTTGTAATAACATTACTCCTCCTCATCGGATTTGCCGGTATTCGCTAAGAGTTTTAATTAACTACACTTCCCAGAAAGACCAGGGTGTGCCACAACTCGGTTTCCATGGTTACTGCGAATGCCGTTTCTTTAAGGGATTCAAGGTAGGACACCGTAATACATTAAATAAACATTATTAGGCGTTATTGGGGGTTGTAAAAATAAAAATATTTAAGTACATACGGGAGTAAAATGCCTGCCAATGTCTTTCAGTTCTAACAATGATCACTTATAAGAAAAACGGTCTTGTTAGTTGTCACCTTAAACCACTGAAGGCAATATTATGTTTTACTGGGTTTGCAGGAACGAACAAATATTAACTGTGTACTTGTGGTAGCGAACATTCAGATCCGTTTGAAAGTTAAACAAATTATAGTCGTAATGTTAGCCATGAATTATATTTAGAAAATAACTTAAACTTCAATTATGAATGCTGACACTCAGATTTTTTGGATTTTGGATGTACAGTGATCCTCTCTATATCATGGTTCAGCCATCGCCCCCCTATATATATATATGTGTGTGGGTGTGTGTGTGTATGCGTGTGGGAGGGGTGTTTTAAGGCTTAAACTATTAAAAAAAAAAAATGTTTATTTATATGGTCTTTCTATATATCGCGGATTTTCACCTATCGTTTCTAAAGCGCGTGGGAGGGATTATTTTAAGGCTTACACTATAAAGAAAAAATGTTAATTTATATATTCTTTCTATATCGCGGATTTTCACCTATCGCTGATGGGTCTGTAACGTAACTTCCGCGATAGGCGGGGGAATCACTGTACCGTATATAGAACACATTTCCATTTTCACATTTTCTGTAACACGTGTTTTTAAAAGTTATCTTTACAATAAAGCCAATACAGTGAAAGCCACTCTTGGTGTATCAGCTTGTCACCACTAAGCAGTACGTATATTTTAATATGTCAACAGAGATTGCTTTCAGGGCCTGCCATCACTTTATAGTATTTACTGTATATATTACGATTTTTTCCCAAATATTTCAAATAGTAAGTCTTCGTGATATATTGCGTACAGTCTGTCCAAATAGCAGTTGTGTGTGTGCCCAGTCTGCTGCCACCGTTTTCACTGTTAAGGTATCTGGGAGGAGTAGAACGCAGTGTGGTCTGCATGCTGTGAGCTAAAAACCAAGCAGGCACAGCTGGGGAAATTTCACAGCTCAGTCAATCAGAGTCAACTTCCATGAGGTATTTAAGAGGAGCAAAGCCATGGAGCTGATCGCACAGGTGTGCACCTTCCCGTTCCATTTGCCCAACCAGGGAGACAGCTGGCCTACACCAAGCCCTCTTGCTCACTCGGAAGCTCCTCCATCGCTGAGCATTCTCCCCGCACACCAGGTGTGAAGTTTTCCACAAGAGCCCAGGGATGAATTATGGAGAACATTTTGGTCATATTAAGATGAGGTAGTGAACGCTATTTTGAAACACCTGGGACTTTAAAAAAGAAAAATACAAGAACTTTTAAAATACAGGCCCATTTCACAGGTTTTATATATGTTCCGTGTGTGTTTGTGTGTGTGTGTGTGTGTGTGTGTGTGTGTACTTTAGAAAAACTGTAGATACATGTGTGACAGGAGTGGCTGGCGAGTTAGGCGGCCTAACTTGATCCCACACACACCTTCCATAGTCTGTGGAGTCCAACCTGTCAGCTCCCCTCAGAGCCCAGTTCTTGTTACTGGGGCATCATTCTCTCAGCTTTGGGTGTGATTTTCTTGTACCCTTATTTCTTGCTGTAAATACAGCACTTCCTCACTGGTCCCAGTGTACACGCATGGCATTGTTCTGCAAATGAAATAATCCAGGAGTTATACTTGTGAAATAATGTGACGACATAATACACTCAGGTGGTAAACGGAGTGACGAGCATTCATGGGGGGTAACCCCACTCCACTGTGCTTTCAACACAACATCATTTTGTCATTTATTATTCATTTATAACTCCATACAGTTTCATATCTATCTCTAGAGACTCATGTAAGAACCTAATTATGGGGGGAGTCAGAGTGCCTGCAATGTAACTGTCCCTTACGGTGGACACCAGAAACTATGGCCTTGTGAGCAAGAAGACAAGGGTAACTACTATATAGCCACATGTGACAGGATTTAAAATGAAAAACAGATGGAGCCTGATTATGAGGATTCATACAAACAATAAATAATTAGAAATGATCTAAAGCTAATGAAGTGAATTAATCAAAGGGGCAAAGCTATGCTCTCAGGACATTTCTGATAAACACTGCAGACGAGGTTTCTGCTCCTGTCTAATCTCTCTGCATCTCTTTCATTTCCTTTCATTTGTATGCTCTCTCCCTGTTTTTTTTTTTGATTACTTGGCATGATTACATGAGGAACATTACTGCCAAGGATGTTTTTACATGTAATAAATCATTAATGTCAGAGCAACCCACTGCTTTTACTGCTGGTTGCCTCTGAGTTTGGTCTGTAATCTGGTTTGTATATCCCCCAAGCACAAGGAGACCAGCAGAGAGAAACAGCACCAAAAGAGATTACACTAAATAGAAAGATGGTGCTTGTTAATGTGTAGCATGTAGCACTCCAGGTTTGCGGTGTGCTGTGTAGCATGTGGCACTCCAGGTTTGCGGTGTGCTGTGTAGCATGTGGCACTCCAGGTTTGCGGTGTGCTGTGTAGCATGTTTAGAAATGTACGTGCACACTACACTAATGAGGAGATCATTAAAGAAGCAGGAAATGTACAAATAAGTGCAAGCACACTACACTAATGAGATGAGGAGAAACAGGCATGTTTTTAGTATTTCAGAATCATAATCAACTTTAATGACCAAGTATGTTTCCACATGCAAGGAATTTGTCTCCAGTTTTTTCCCTTGCTCTCAATATACTTAGACAAAACAAAAACACGTATAGCATATCTGCCTTAAAATGACAAATCTGTGACCATAGAGAATGAATGGCAAGGAGGTAAGTCAGTGTTTAAAGCCCTAGTTGTGACTGAAACCTGCTGTGGTGTTTATCTGAGGTTTCAGCTTTGTCATGTGATGCAGGGCTTGTCTGCTTCTGGTTTATGAGGAATCCTGCTTTTTGTGCTGGTAGGTGCACTTCCGCCTGGCTCGATTCCCATTCCTTGTGCTCTTCTGCATATCGCCGGATAATTCTGCCAACCCATTCTTATGACTGTGCTGCTGCTGGAACCATGATGAGTTAAAATGGAAAACATTTGGACCAATCTTTAGTAATCGCTCTTGGTTTGATGCTTGATGCCCTTTTAAAGGAGCAATGATTCCCAGGTATGCAATAGCTTTCTGGTGTATAATTAAGATACACTTTGGTAGATTTTGGAATGTGGATTAATTTACTGACTAGATCTGTCAGATTATATTGCTTAGACCTTTTGAATGTTCACTTCTAGTTTATCATTTAAAGTAGCTCAGAATATAACTGGAAAGGTATGACTGTAACTGGCTAGTAAACAAGCTCTTCTACGTACAATGGGAATTAGACTTATGTGTCATGTGGAATGAGGTCAGGGGCTGGTGCATGCTGCCTACCGCCAGTCCCCTAACAATGACAGATAGTTTTCTTTTTCTTCTGCTGGGGGGGTAGGAAGTCAATTTGTATACCAGAGCTGCTCAGTTTTTAGCCTATGATGATCGATTAGCACAGTTCACTTTGTTTTTGACGGCTATGTTTATTAAAGGTTTGAAATGTGACCATTGAGAAGAAAACTGACGTGTTGAGGTGCTCACAAAGGTACAATGGTGAGGGTAGGTATGTTCATTTCCTGCATGAGCCAACAGCCTGGTCCTTCTCTGGATCTGGTATGACACCCTACAGTGAAGACCCCAAGGAGATAAGGCTCCTCCTGGTGTTAATATAGTAGCAGTTTTCATGCTCCACTCGCCCGTCCTCCTAACTTGCCTGTCCCCCTGTGGAATTATGACAGTGCAGCTGCCATGGCCGTGAATATAGGTCATATTTTATCTAGATCTTGCCCACTGCTGGGCTTCACCCAGCTTACAGCTCCCACTTCTCAGTGATTAGCTTTCCGGGTAATGGTGAACTCCCGCCCAGGTGCGGTCTCCACGTGAGTGACACCTTCCTTTGACGAGCAGTAATGGAGACCTGAGCGCGGTGGTGGCCCTGTTTCATGTACCTCAGTCTGATGTGGGTCTCCGGGCTGTCCACGACAATGTGGCTTGCACCATCAAACTCCTGCGTGAGCACACAGGTACTCCCCGAACCGTACACATGCCCAGGGCATCCCTCCTCCTAAACACCACCATAAACAGCACTCTGCTGCCATGGTCAAGTACACCTTAGCCAGACGGAACCTGAGCAGCCCCTGTTCCTCTCAAGGGAACATAGGCCCATTTCAGACAGCCGCTTTTGTGCCTCACCACACACATATACTGTAGATGTAGTGGAGCTATACAGAAATAATAATAATTAATAATAATAGATACTTTATTGATCCCGGTGGGGAAATTGTCTTTACACCTCCCTCAACTTGCTCTTTGTAAGCAAGCTGTCTGCGAAGGGCTGCCACCCATGGCAGCGCCCAGGGAGCTGGGGGTTAAGGGCCTTGCTCAAGGACCCGCAAAAATGCTGAGGCTGGTTTTGAACCGGCGACCTTCTGATTGCAAGCACACAGGCTTAGCCTACTGAACTTAGCCCACAGGCTAAGAAACCAGTAGGTAGCCCATATGATCTGCCATGGGAGATTAGTACACAAGTTTGCTGGGCTATCAGAGACCTAACAGGTTGCAATAGGATATTAGGGAGCTCTCAGGAGTTTGTTGGGCTATCAGAGACCTGGCAGGCTGTAATGGGGTATTAGGAAGCTATCAGGAGTTTGGTTGGCTATCAGAGACGTAACAGGCTGTGATGGGGTATTAGGGAGCTAACAGGAGTTTGGTTGGCTATCAGAGACCAAACAAGCTGTAATGGGGTGTTAGGGAGCTAATTGGAGTTTAGGGGGTATCAGTTAACTAACTGCTGGTAGTGGCGTGTTAGTGATTTCATACTTATGGATGCATACAATGTATCTCCCTGCTGAGAGCACAAATAATGAGATTAAAGCTCTTTGCTGATGTTCCTAAAGAGCACCATGCCATTTGCCAGTTGTTTTTGCTCATGCTGCTATATCTAGGATTCTTTAAATTCCCCCTTCAGCCAATATCCAGAATATACTCCAGCCGAAGATCAGCAGTCAACCCGCAGCTGAGTCTTTGCCAGATCAAATGTATCAGACCAGGTTTATAAGTACTCAAGAAGCACCCAAAAATGCTGATTCCAACCATTAGTTCCTAAACCCCACCCATCAACTTTTAGACTGACCCCATCAGTAGTCAAACCACAACTATCAGCATTCAAACTACACCAAAAAGCACCCATACCTCAGCAATCATACTCCAGAAACCTACCCGCGAGTATTCAGAGTGCACCAGTCAGTTTGACATCACAGAATGGGTCTCACCATAGAAGTTTCCCACCACACTTGCTACATGGAAACAGGACTGCTGGCTGTCAGTCACACACACAACTCTGTCCCCTACAGGGTGGAGGATTTCCTAGCAAGCGTTTGTCAGCAGGAAAGCGTGAAAGAGGGGCAAATATTACCCCACACTGCCACTGGGGCAGAGTCGCTCATTGTAGCAGCTGCAACACATGAACATAAGATACAGTGAGTAAAGTTATGACAGTTTTACTTACAAGCAGGACTGGAAGGTTGAAGCTGGTTATGTGAGGTGGTTGCAGGCTACAGAAGGTCCTCCTCCTCCCATTAGCCCTGTCCTATTCACCATGTGTGCCCAGTCTGGTGAAGGACCGTGGCCCTACTTTGAGCAGCCCTTCAAATTAGAAAGCGAGGCTCTTTCTTTGGAGGTGTAGCCACACTGGGGCCTTGTTTCCTGTAATAACAGACTGTCTGTCTATCTCCCTCCCCTCTCCGTCTTTTCCTCCACGGACCTCCCTACTCCAGCCACAAATTTCCTCACCCAGCTCATAACCTGCGCAGATCTGCATCATTTTGGCTTCCAGAAACTAACAAGTATTTTTATCCACGGTTTATTATTGATTCCAATCTGCTAACACAAGGGAAAAAGAGATCCTAAAGATGACAGATTCACACAGAAGCTCCTGCAACAATCTGCATATTTATTTCTGAACTGTGTTGGGTCTGTTAGCTTTTTACACAGTAACACAAACAAGGTGTCTCTATGTATTTACAGTATCGTGTTTAATACTTCAATGTGTCTTTGTACCTTCAGAGTGTTTTCCATAGTAACACGGCCTGTTTCATGCAGTCAGTGTGTTGTGTTTTTGTGCAATATCACCAATGTGTTTGTCATTTTCTGTTTTGTTTGCAGGGCACGACAGTATTTGTCATTCTGTAGCGTTTGTTGTCTTTTTATACAGTAACACCACTGTATCTGTCATTTTCTTTTGTTTCCTGTGTTTTCATATGGCGACAAGTACTATACAGTATCTAACATCCTGTTTCATTTTCTGTGTTTTCTTGTAGTAACACTATTATATCTGTCGTTCTCTTTCGTTTGCTGTGTTTTGATACAGTAGCATGACTATACCAGTCATTCTGTTTCATTTCCTGTGTTTTCATACACTAACACCTCTGTATCTGTCATTCTGTCTCATTTGCTGCGTTTGCATACACTAACACCACTATGTATGTCATTATATTTCATTTGCTCTGCTTTTATACAGTGGCACCACTGTACTGTATCTGCCGTGTTACGTTTGCTGTTTGCAGGCAATGACACATCTGTATCTTTTAGTCTGTGCTACATTTGCTGTGTTTTTTTAAGCCACATTTCGGTGGTTTCCACGTTTCCACGTTTCCGTGGATTGCCTCTCCTCTCACCCAGAATGGTATTTTCTGTCCAGGTATTTGGTTTTTTAAAAAAAGCACCTTCGTAATCCAAAGAGAGAGAGAGAGAGACAGAAATTAAAACTGTCAGGCAGAGTGAATCCTTGAAAGGCTGTGAGAGATCTGGGCCATCGGGCCGGCATGTATGTTCAGCATCCAGTCTTAGGTCGGGCACAAGCCTGTACAATTTTTTATTTTTAATCTTCAAAACGAAGCAGGCCCTGTCATTAAGGTCTCCCTGGGAGGCCTGACCCTGCCCTCAGTGCCCAGTGCCTCCCTTCTGGTGTTATTTAGGGAGTGGGGTGATGCAGCAGAGCTGTGTAA